TATACTAAGTTTCTTCTATCACACTTTTCACTTGTGGAACTCTTATGGCTTCTTGCTTTCCAGTTAACTTTGACCTTCAAAAATTTAAATGCAATGCCAATCATTTCTCCTTGATTCCTGTTCTTTTTATTATCCTCTTTGTTTCTTTTGCTCTTAGTAAGCCCTTGCATCCTAGTGGCTTTATTGCCTTGCTTGGGATGAAATGATTAAGAGAAAAAAATTCTTATGTAAAGGCAAAAAGGTTTTTCTTTTGAATTAAAAAGAACTAACACTTAAATTTATCAGTTAAATGAAAATAAGAAAGATACTTAGATATTATTGCCTGTCATCAATATCCGAGTTTAAATAACTGATATAGAACTGTTAAAATTATTACTTGAAAACTATGCAAGATCTTTATTTACATTCAGACTATTGTCCTCGTCTTTGTTGTTATCACAATGTTTCAGCTGTTGTTCATTCTGGCCTTCATTAGGTATATGTGGATCCAGGTAACCTACAGGGAATTTCAAACAGAATCCAAACTGACATACACTTGATGAAGGCCAAAGGGCACAACAGCTGAAATGTCGTCATAGCAACAAAGATAGTCCACATGTAAATGATCAGATTGTTCTGTGGAATACTTGTAATAGAAAATTGTTTGAATTTGAAAAGTGATGACAGTGTCCTAAATGTGTGTTTATAATTATCCTATAATAATTGTGCTTGTTTCTTCCTTCATTAGTTCACACAACCGTTATGCCCTGCCAATACCTCAAATAATAGACTATTTCATTTTGACCACTTGTAAAGAAGTGAAAAGACACTACTTGGTTTCACTGAGAAAATGAAAGAAAGATAGAAGTGTGTGTGTGTGGGGGGAGAGAATGAATCAGATTAAGCAGATGAGAACAAATACTACACTTTGGTCTTAGCCAAAAGGCCAAGAAGCGATTGTATTTTCTTGCCAACCCATACTGGCAGGTTGTGACACAAGATCAGTTTATTGTGGGGAGCCTGATCACATAAATCTGGGCCAGGTCCAAAAATAGCCTAGTCCCTGCAACCATTGTTTGTGTTGGCATTGGTATTACTATCAATTCCCTCCTCTTTTGTGCAGTGTGAGAGGTGCTGCCATGGACTGCTTTTTCCCAGGTACCTCTTGATAATATTTTTTGAGGGTGCTCTGTTTGAAGACAGACACAATTGAGACATAAAATGCAATTTATCTGTCTGAGGGTAGATACTACACTTTCATCCCAACCAAAAGGCTGAGATTAGATGGCAACTGTGATAACTGTGCCATTTTTCAGATGCACAATATCAACCAACGGAAACTGAATAAAACAGTTGCCAAAAATCCAATTACCATTAATAAAATAACATTGTCTTCCGAATTATTTTTAAATTATTATTAAGTGAAATGTTCACAAGACTGGGATTTGGCTAGTACATAATAGTTTTTTTTATGTACAACACGTTAGCTTAGATGCCTAGACTTGCTCAGATTTTAAATTACAGAGAAAGTAAAACTTTAAGTATTTAATCATAGAATAATTTTTCTTTTATTGCCAGAAATATTTCACTTGTTAATGCAGAAAACAGAATGTAAAGTAGTTGCAAAGTCAGAAAAGCTAAAAACCTATTTAGCATTAGTTCTGTAGAAATACTGAAAATATTACATAGGTTGTAGATACATAGGTATGAAAGAAAGCATTCATATTAGAATAAATTTTGAAATTGCATTATGGCTTATGCAAATTCAAGCCATAAAGTAGATTGAGAAATGATTTCAGAGATAAAAAAAATTGTATTGCATTATTAACAATGCTTCATGTATCATCATTTAATATTAAAAAAAATAAACTTCAAAGCTGATAAAAATGTCAATAAAATAATCAAATTAAAACTGCTTTATAGGAAATCAATTTGTCACCAAATACAGCTTCCACATAATGTTTATGCATAAGCAGAAAGCTATCAGTCAATTATTCCTTGTGTTCTCTCTCTCTCCCTATATATATATATATATATATATAAAATCTTCATCAGACTAAAGTGATGTTTAAGTTGACATGACTACACATGAAGGATAGGGGATGCTGAGAATTTTAAATAATTTTTTTTTTTTTTAAATATGTTTTGGGTTTATAGTTCTTAAAAAAAAAACAATTTCCTTATTAAACCTGCTTCAAATTTTTCAGTTTCATTGGCTATAAAATTTAGAATTGTTTGAAATGCTGATTACCAAGTTGACTTTTGTTTTTAGCAGCTAACATTTGGCATAAAGTTGAAGTAAATCAACACATTTTCTAGACGAGATCCCCCACTCTATGTAACAAAAAATTGATGTGTCTTCAGATACAACAGTTTAAATTTCCTGTCTTGCTTACTTTATATTTCCACTTATTTATTGAAAAAAGATAAATCTGCTATAATTAATAAATTATTGAATCCTCAGTGAGGCAAAACTCTACTATGAATTGCTAAACATAAAGCATGATGCTTATGAAAACTTCTCAGGCACATTGTGAGGGAAAAGAGCTTAAATCATTTGACACTCACAGAACATATTGAAAATAAGAGGGACAGAGGAAAACTGTGTATAACATACCTAACAAGCTTGTGTAATGGTTGGTAGAACAGGGAGTGGGGAGAGAGCAAAAAAACAAAATTTACTAAGGGCTAGAAAAAACAGGAAATTGTGGAGAGCTATGATCGTCAAAGTCCCAAAGGGATATGACACATAGGAAATGTAATTAATAGCATATTATAGAATACTGTAAGAGAACTGCCCATAACATTGGAAGAAATAAAAATTAAGATGGAAAAAGACGGCGTTATAATGAAAATGAAGGAGAAATTAAGATCTAAAGGAAAAAATATTATTGGAAATAATGTATTTTCATTATGTAATGATGTACTTATGTACACAGAGAGAATGGTCATACCAGCATCATTGCAAAGACATGTTAAAAGAATTTCACAGAGGACATCCAGGAATTTCTGGAATGAAATCCTTAATGAGGTGTTATACTTTCTGGCCAAATGATATTGAAAATTTAGTGAAATCATGCAGAGGTTGTGCTCTGGCAGCAAAGTCACCACCTATCAAAATTCAACCTTGGCTGAGAACCGATATGCCATGGTCCAGAATACATATAGACTTGCCAGGGCCATTTAGTGGTAGTCGATAGTTACACTAAATGGCCAGAAATATTAAAATGTAGAAGACTGACTACTGCAGTAATGATAAATTTCCCACACAAAATTTTTGCAAGGTTCAATGTTCCTGACTCTGTTCTTTCAGATAACATGACTCAATTCACATCTAGTGAATTTAAGTTTTTTTGCAAATCATTAGCAATAGAACATATTACAACTCCCCCTTATCACCCAAGATCAAACGAACAAGTGGAATGGTTTGTTGATATGATTAAAAGGGCACTAAAAAAAGTCGGAGGAAGAGGAGTTAGATGAAGTAATGATTCAGCAATTTCTGAGTGTTTACAGAATAACATCAAACCCAAACCCTGTGTCTGGATTGTCATCTGCAGAGTTGATGTTCACCAGGAAGATTAAGTCCGTTTTCAATAAGTTGTTACCAGAACATGAGGTGAGAACATCAAGAAATAACAATAGGAGTAGATAATTCACACCTGGAGATCAGGTGTTTTTTAAGATGTATTTGCACAGAAAGGAATTCTGGGAAGATGGTGTTATAAAAAAACGGTTTGGTAAATGACATACATGGTACAAAGACAAAGGTGGGAACATAATTGACATTACAAAAGTGGCAATAAGTGTTTGCTGACATCACAAAACTTATATCACTATCATAAATGAACAGACATGGAGAAAAATGAAAGCAGTTTCCAACAAAGCTTGAACTTTTATTGCATATTACAGGGGCTCATCTTACAATAGTTTGAACAGCATTCTTTTCTCTATCAACAATCCTCACATACAAATGACAATCCACTTCAATGTGGATTCATTCATCTTCTAAAGGTATTGGTGCTAAGTGAACACAAACAGCCTCAGCAAAAATTTAAATGGTTTACCATTTTTGTTTTTTATACCATTACACTATGCTGCCTTTATTATGATTTGTATGAATTTAAGCATGCCAGTAGATTTACATCTAGATCTTGCCATTTTATTGTTGAACTAGATACATGTAACTGTATGTTCTATTCTAATAATAGTTTCTTTTCTTGCACTTCTGATTTCTTGCTACTCTGACACCTGCAATCTTCAAAAATTTAAATGAATGCCAATTGCCATTTTCTCTCTTCTTGAATCTTCATTATCCTTTCTCCTCAAAAAAGTTTTATTCTTTTTCACTTCTAGTGGCATTATCACCTTGTTTGGGGTGAAATGATAAAAATAAAAAAGAATTCAGAGTTTCTTGGTGTGATACTGATGAATATATGAACAGATTCAAATTAAGAAAGAAAAAGTGTTTACTTTTAATGATGAGATTTTGTATACAGTTAATCTTTTAACAATGTAGCAAACCAGCCATTTTTTTTCTTAAGGTTACTAAAAAGGTAAAGATCACTATTGGCAAAATTTCAACATCTTCTTGAGTAAGCCAATTCTTTGCTATTCAAGAAGCAATAATTGGTTCATGCTGATAGGTTAAAAGTAGCAGGAACAGTTCTTTGGTATTCTACATGGTACTCTGTACAGTGCCAACTACTAACAGACATTACAATTTGATAACATGTAAGAATGTTGGTGATTTGTATTTTGCCAATGAATGTTTGAACTACTACCCAATATTTGACAGTGAGGGGGGGGGAATAAAGTGTATATCTACTAAATTAACTTAGTCTGGCACAAGGTTTAAAAAATGGGACAGTAATGATGCTTGAATTCGCTATGCTAGCTTCTAGCTATATAGCATTATTTTTTATACCATCCTCCTTGAACACTTTGTGTTGCCACTATTGATGTTTGTTTACAGATATTAGTAGTATTAGTGGTATAATCTTAAAATTTAGATGAATTTTTCCAGTTCCTGTATAATCACCAAAGTTAAGCAGCATCAAGCCTGATCAGTACTTCAATGGGTGACCACCTGGGAATACCATGTGCTTTGTAGGTGGTGCAATAGATAATGGCTGTGGATTATTAATAGGAGAGCCATGTTCCAATTCCATTTGGTTTTTTTTATATTCACTCACATGCAAATATCCTTGGGAAAAGTATGAATCCACTGCTTCTCCCCTAGCTATGGGTTAATAAGACTTGTATCACTAAAGCATTATTATCTCCAAAAATAAAATAAAATTGCATACAAAATGTTTAGATTCTGGCATTAAATTACCCATAGAGATGTTAATATGCCACTAAGCAAATACAACTAACCAAACATAGATCAGTTTTTCTCAACATTTTCTTCATTGTGGTCCATTTCAGGTTCACAAATAGAAATTCCATATAACAGGAAATATATTTTATCTATAAAAGCAAAATGTAATAGAAAATATAAATACTGACTTATGACTCCACTGCTCCTGGTGTTTGTCTAAGAAGCTTGTCAAATAAATGAAAAATAAATGAAATGAATACAGTCTTTGTAATACCACACCATAAAATGTTTCAAATCAATTTGAAAATATAATTTATTATAAGAAAACTGAAAATTTTATTTAAATAATTTCTGAATTATTTGCTTTTAAAGATAAGGTAAAGCAGTTTTTCATGCTTTTGTAAATTTACATCAGTGAAAAAAAAAAAAATAGAATTTTAAAACCCACCTATTTTGTTTGGGCCAAATTTAGGCTCATTTAAAGAATTTCTCAAGCTCATGTTGAGAATCACTGATCTAGATAAAGCGTTGTCAATTTTTGACTAACCTGCTTTTCATCTTGTTTTCTATTATGAAAACAAGAATAAAAAGGTGGATCTGACTGAAAAATTCTTTTATTTCTTCACTGTATACTAATGTTCATAGAATGACTCTCTGGTTACTTGTGATTAAAAGCCAGTAAAATTAAGATGAAAGAAATACTAGTAAAAATTTATTTGATAATGCGTTCTTATAAAATTCAAGAAATATTAAAGATTTTTTTTTTTTTTAGCCAAGGAATATCTCTTCTAAATCTAACCATTAAGGATACAAATTCTACTAAAAATTGACAGTAATTGTTGCTGTATTTTATTATTACTTATTGTCAAACATTATTTAAATTTTTAGTTGCTTCTTTATTTTTTCATGCTGTCTGTTCATTGCCATCAACAGCCTGAGTAGGGATGATTTTAAAAATTTACACAAATTTAATGTGAATTTATTATTTGAGACAAACTGTTTAATTTTCTTATCAAGTGTTTACTACATCCTACTTTGCGAAACTTTCATCACAAATTTTGCAACACTTAACCTCTCAGTTAAACTCACAAGCATCATTCACACACACACACACACACATATATAGAGAATTTAACATTAATCAAACTAACAAACAATACAAGCTTTCAATCTATGCTTATTAGAATACATATCATTGTAATCTTCATATAATATAAATGAAAATTGATTGTTATTCAATCCTTTCTCTTTTCTCAGTATTGTTCTATGCTTTTCTGTTTATTTTCATTAAAGTATAATATAAATGTGCTGAGGATACATGTCTTTGAACATGCAGCCCAAATTTATTCTTTCAACTATAAAAACCGACATAACAAGTCCTTCACATATTAAAAGATAGAGAATTTTATGGTTGGAATAAACATAATAAATCTTGACTATTTAAGCTCCATTAGTAACTTGTCAATATTAAGGATGAATTTTTATGTAAAGCTTCATTATCATTTTTCATACAATTGTTTATATTTTATGTAAATGATATTAATTTATAATGAAAAAAAACGTAATTCTATATGATAGTAATTTTTTTTTCCTTTAAGGTATGATATATTTGTGTAAAAGTAGGTACCTCAACTTGCTTGCTGAAAAACAGCATAGTATGATGAAAAAAAGACTCTAAGCTTAATAAAAACAGTTTTATCATCAAAATGTTTGTTATTATTCAGAGGAAAGACTAAAGAATATTTTTATTATTTTATTAAATTTTTTTTAATCATTTCTAGCATGTTCAAAATTTTGGTTAAAAATTTATTTTTTTTTTATGTCAACAGTTGATGCTAATTTATGGTCAGTTTTTTTTTTCCTGGTGAAAACACTGATTTGGAAATTTTTGCAAAAATCAAATAATTATTAGATTTTAATGAAACTTTCAGGGCTTGAAATGAATGAATTTAGTTTTGGAATTTTTTTTTTTTTTGTATAAACTCTTGGTAAAAATTTTTTTTTTTTTTTTTTTTTACATATGTTCAAACCACACACACACACCTTACACTTACTTAATTTCATGAAATTAAATTGTAATCTCAAAATTTGTTTTATTTTTTATTAAAAGCAGGACTCTTTGGAGAATGTAAATCATAAATTGATTTTTTACAAATTACTACTCATTTCTCAGAAATCTGCTCTGAATCTTAAAATAAAAAAAATGCAATAATAAAACTATGACATTATTTAATTAGAAAAGCTTTTAATTGCTTTTATAAATAAGACTTAAGGATGCTATTGTGTTAAAATTGTTTTTTGGTGAACAATGAATTTTTACAAGAATTGTTTTCATTTTTTAAAATTTAAATTATAATAATTTAAATCAAAATTTTGCATTAGTTCAATCTGATTAGGTGATATTGTTATTAAGTGAAAACTATATTTGCAAATCAAAAATTGAAAAGCTCAATAAAAGTCGTTTACACCCAATATTTTTGAAAAAATTTTAAAGTTTTTTTATTTATATAAAATATTACGTAACTTACTGCTGTTTGAAAGTATGGTCAACCATACATGATATAATCAGAAAATAAGAATGGTGACTATAGTAAATTTAAATTCAACATTAGATTATGGAGAATATTTTCCAACATTTTAAAGATTACTTAGTACTTAAAAATTATATGAAAAAGGTGCTCACCTATCATTTTCTTAAATTATGTTTTAACAGATGAAGTCTCTGTAGCAAAGGTGTTGACAGATTTTATCATCACTTGTCAAGTGATCTACGAGTGAAAAGTGATGGTGATAAGTGTGTAATCACCACTACCGTTTGTTTGAAAAATGAATTTCTCTGTTATTTTAAACTTAAATAATATTTTTTTTCAAGTCAGATTAATTATACTTTAAATCAACTAATATCCCTCAAATACAGTTTCAGAAAAGTGTATTTAATTTTGGAAGATTTTTAAAACTGAGAATTAACATCTGTTTACAAACATGTCAAAAATGGCCAATTTTGTAAAAGTGACCAAAAAGTTGATATTCCAATCAATATAATTTCTAGTTGAAATACATCAGCATATTTTGCTTACTGAGAATAGTAAATTTAATCATTTAGCTTTCAATTAAAGCTAAAATAAAAGCTTTAAGAATGCTTTTTCTTTTTTAAAAGTTCATTTTAAACCTTAGGTATTGAAAATTCAGTGGAGGTGCCTAGTGATCAATATCAGGAATAAACCATCTATAATGATAAAAGTGAACACTGAGGTCAACAACGAGCAGTGACTGTCTTTCATGCCAGCACATTTAATTTGCCTTGATAAAGTCCATCAGTCCTTCATTTGTGTCAGTAAAGAAAAGTTTACCTTTTGTCTTTATATTAATAAGCTATATTTTTATCATATATATAGAGTTAATACAAATATAAAATTTGTCACTTAGCTGGTTGATATATTCAGCATCCCAACTCCAGAGTTTCGTAGACAAATCTTTTTGTAATTATTCTATACATCAGAAGATATCAGCAATAACTATTTTTCAGATATTTATTCAAGGAAAATCTTTTCTGGTAATCATGGTGAAATATTTGCTTGTTAAATGATACAAATTCAGAAATTCTTTCATAATTCATATTTTGCTTATGTTTTTATCCATGATAAGCATTTCATATATTTCTTATACAAGACTATTTAAGTTGATAATTAATAATGTTATCTTTAGTTGGAGTTTAGCTTAATGTTTGTATAAAATGGAAGATTGGTCTTATTAAAGCATTGCACAGATCTTTCATTTTTTCAGCAAATATTTGATAATCAGGGTTCATTATTGATATACATTATTAATTTTAATTGTATGCTTATTCTTTATAATAATTTTGCACTGATTAATCAATTGGTAATCTATAATCGGTCAAATTTGCCTTTTGCCAATTAGTTGTTGCTCTCTTTCATCAATCAGTTTTTATATTCTTTTGTAGTGCCTTAATAAACATAGTATCAGCAGCAGCCCTTAATAAACATAGTATCAGCAGTAGCCCTTAATAAACATAGTATCAGCAGTAGCCCTTAATAAACATAGTATCAGCAGCAGCCTTGAGGCTATAAAAACAAGTGAACCATTAAATAGCTCTCTGTTCCTGTTTTTTGACCTTTTTGAAGTGTGTGTCATCAACTTTTCATACTGAAACCAAAACTGCTGTAGCCTCATCACACACAAACACACCCACACAGGCAAATCACACTCAAATAGATTCATTAATAATTTTCTTCATTGGGTATACAATTTTTTTCTAGGAAAAAAAACTCTTAAACTTTCCTTTTGCTAATTTGTTTAATATATGTTATCTTGCTTTACAAATCAGCCTGTTATTTTGTGCCAATACTTTTTCACCACCATTAATTCATGTAAAATATTATGTAGAAACCTTAATAATTATAGAAGTAGCTAACACACTAAACTGTCATCCCTGTATCAAAGAAATTTCATCTCCAGCTTAAGAATTGTCAGTTATCATGGACAGAAAATGTGTTACATAATATTCTGATGGCTTTTTTGTTTTCTTTTTTTTAGCTTTTTTGTCTAGCTACTCATTTCCAAGCAGGCTCATCTGTTAGATCAACTAGCCAATCCCTGTTACAGACGCTTGCTCAGGCACATTTGCTTATTCAAGACCCACAGAGCCCACCTGTGATTTATACTACAGCTTTGCTAAGCTGACAATAGCCACAATTTCTGAGAGAGAGCACATGATCATCAGTTTGAAGAAAAGGCCAGTATGCTTGAACAGTGTCATTGATCAT